AAGGTGTTTCCCCACCCAGCCTTGCCAGGATCCTTGGGTTTCCCTCCCCCAGCCTGGACTGGAAGGGATTCCTGGTGGGTTTTGGTTCCTCCCTGCCTTGGGAAGGATCCCTGGGATCCCCCAGCTGCAGCAGAACAGCCCTGAGTCATGGGGAGGGTTGGGCTCCAGGATTTCTCCTCCCTGTTTCAAACCCTGAAGCAGAAGAGGAAGTGGAGGGGGGGGGAAAAAAATGTTCAATAAAAGAAAAATCCTGCTCCAAGTCCCTCTTAGTTTTTTGTTTGCCAACCCAAGTGGTTCTGCTGGTCTCAAAGCCAAGTTTCCTGCTGCTCTGGGGAAGCTCCAGCTCAGGTTCCTCCTGGGTTGTCCCTCCTCGTCCTCCCCAGGCTTGGCCTGGAGTTTGAGGTCTCAGCTCAGCAGCTCTGGGGGGTGCAGAGCCCACCAGGGGCTGGTGTCACCCTGGGGAGCTCTGAGGGGGGTTGGCTCCTCCTGCCACCTCTGAAGGACATGAGGGGATGTGTCCCCATGGTCACTTAGGCTCTCGTTTCCTGCTGCTCTGGGGAAGCTCCAGCTCAGGTTCCTCCTGGGTTGTCCCTCCTCGTCCTCCCCAGGCTTGGCCTGGAGTTTGAGGTCTCAGCTCAGCAGCTCTGGGGGGTGCAGAGCCCACCAGGGGCTGGTGTCACCCTGGGGAGCTCTGAGGGGGGTTGGCTCCTCCTGCCACCTCTGAAGGACACAAGATGTGTCCCCATGACTCCTTCTGCCCCCAAAGGGCACAAGGGGACATGTCCCCATGGTCACTCATGCTCCAAAAGGACTCAAGAAGGTGTGTCCCCACAGTCACACTCCCTGAAGAACCCAAGGGGACATGTCCCCATGGTCACTTAGGCTCCCAAAGGACGTGAGGGGTTGTGTCCTCGTGGTCACTTGTGCTCCAAAAGGACTCAAGGTGTGTCCCCATGGTCACTTAGGCTCTCAAAGGACACAAGAAGATGTGTCCCCACAGCCACACTCATGAAGGACACAAAGGGACTTCTCCTCATGGTCATTTAGGCTCTCAAAGGACACAAGATGTGTCCCCATCACTGCTTCTGCTCCCAAAGGACACGAGGGGATGTGTCCCCATGGTCACTTAGGCTCTCAAAGGGCACAAGGGGACGTGTCCCCATGGTCACTCATGCTCCAAAAGGACTCAGGAAGGTGTGTCCCACATCCAGTTATGCTCCCAAAGGACACGAGGGGATGTGTCCCCACAGTCACACTCCTGAAAAACCCAAGGGGATGTGACCTCGTGGTCACTTGTGCTCCCAAAGGACACAAGAAGTTGTGTCCCCACGGTCACACTCCCTGAAGGACCCAAGGGGACATGTCCCCAGGGTCACTTAGGCTCCAAAAGGACTCAAGAAGATGTGTCCTACATCACTTATGCTCCCAAAGGACACGAGGGGATGTGTCCCCATGGTCACTTGTGCTCCAAAAGGACTCAAGGTGTGTCCCCATGGTCACTGAGGCTCTCAAAGGACCCAAGGGGATGTGACCTCGTGGTCACTTGTGCTCCCAAAGGACTCAAGAAGATGTGTCCCCACAGTCACACTCCTGAAGGACCCAAAGGGACATGTCCCCATGGTCACTTAGGCTCTCAAAGGACCCAAGGGGACGTGTCCCCATGGTCACTTAGGCTCTCAAAGGACCCAAGGGGACATGTCCCCATGGCCACTTAGGCTCCCAGAGGCCACCAGATGTGTCCCCCATCCACTCCAGCTCCCGAAGGACAGGAGGGGACGTGTCCCCACGGCCACTCACGCTCCCAAAGACCGGCAGCTCCTTGCCCAGCAGCTCCTTCAGCTCCATCTTGCTCAGCTTGTACTTGTCCCCTTCCTTCCCCGAGTACTTGTGGAAGGTGGTGACCAGCACGGCCAGTGCCTGCTCCAGGGGACAGGCCATCTCCAGGCTGCAGGGCAGAGCAGCAGGGCTGGGGTCAGGGCAGGGGGGGTCTGGCCCCTTCCACCCTGCCCAAAATCCCTCTGTGACCCCCCCCAGGGGAGGAGGTTTTGGGGAGCTGGGACCACGGGGTGGGAGCAGCAGGGGTAAGGGACAAGGAAGACTCACCAGGCTCAGCAGGGCTGGGGCAGCAGCAGGAGTGGGGTGTGGGGGCTGGAGCTTCTGGGGGGCATTTATAGGGCAGCCAGGCTGGCCCTGCCCCCTTATTAAAAGCTGAGCAAGTGGGACAGTGGCACTAGAGGCTCTATTGGACCAGCCATCTTGGCTGCAGATGGGCTGTTATTTTTACAGCATCACTGCTGCTCCTTAAAATTGTCACTTTCTAACAAGATTTTCTTTCTAAGAGTTAACTGATTGGTGTATTATATATCTGGCTTTTCACCAGGGAGGACAAGGGGGAATGGTTTTAAACTGAAAGAGGGGAGATAGAAGTTGGACACCAGGAGGAAATTCTTGGAAGGCACTGGAATAAGTTCCCAGGGAAGCTGTGGCTGCCCCATCCCTGGGGGTGTTGAAGGGCAGGTTGGATGGGGCTTGGAGCAGCCTGGGCTGCTGGGAGGTGTCCCTGCCCATGGGGGGTGGGACTGGATGATCCTGAAGGTCCCTTCCAACTCAGACCACCTGGTGAGGTGACAGCAGTTTCATTCAGGCCATGGGCTGGGGCTTTATGTCAACTGGTGGGACCACGAGCCTGAGCTGGGGCAGCCCAGAAGCACCAGATATTCCTCCAGAAGTCCCTCACGTTGTCCTTGTCCTCCAGGTCCCTCAGAAGGACCCAGAAGCTGCTCCCCTGGGCCCTTCCCTGGCACAGAGTCAAGGATGGCACAGGTGGGTGACAACCACAACGGGGGGTTTCAGCAGGTGGGGGGGGGACCTGTTTGAGGGAGGAGTGACCCCCAGAGACATGAGAATCCCAGTGGGACCCAGTTCCAGGTGTCCCCACACTCCCCCCCATGGAGTTGAGCAGCTCCTTGCTCAGCTGGTTCTTGTCACCCTCCTGGAAGGTGACATTTCACCTGGGGAAACCCAAGGTGGCCTGACCTGGAGCATCTCAGGAGGGTCAAACCTTTCAGGGCTCTGGTGACTGCAGGGGGGGGGACGTGTCCTCCCCCCTGGGTGACGTGGTGGCTGGAGGTGACCCTGCAAATCTGGTGTCACTTGGGACCTGGAGCACCCAGAGCTTTGTTGGGGGGGGGACTGGAGATGATGCCAGGAAGGTGGGTTTGAGCTCCCTGCCCTGGGCTCCCCTGCAGAGCCTGGCAGCCCCATCGCTGCCCCCCTCCCCACGTGGTGCCCCCCAAAAAGTGCCCTGGGGGGTTGCCAGGAGCACCCAGGGGTGCAGCTGCTGAGCATGGACACACAGGACCCCCCCCCCAAGGCCACAGG